ACTGTGAACACCCCAGATGTGTTTCTTGTAATATGAATGCGCCTGGCTTACAACAAACACATCATTTTGACATTAATAAGTACCGAGGCGAAAATCTAAATTTGCCATCAAGACCACCTCGTATAAATTCGCCTTGGCAAAAACAAAACACATGTAAGGCGAAGAAATCAGCTGATTTTACAACACCACCTTCAAGGCGAATTTATACAGGTATTTTGTTTTTGCTTTTACCAGAGAACGTTTAAAACAGAGAAGCAGCTCTGTTTTAAACGTTCTCTGGTAAAATCCTGAAAAAATGTCAAACAGCAAAATTACCGAAACATTTAGGTTTCGAATAGAAGCGCATATGAGCCAAAAATATGGAAAACACGATTCAGGAGAGACTCGCCTATCAAAACCCGAATGTAGGAGCCAATAGAGCTTTTAATCATGATCCAACTACACAAGATCTGACAAGATGAAGCAAAAGAAAAAAGTAATTATCTGGCTGACGGTTGTAATTTCGGCGCCATGTTATTTTCTGTGAAAAGTAAACAAAGAATATGAAGACGAAGCATAAAGAAGAAATGCAGACAATGTTGTGCACATATTTGTGCTAACCAATTTATTATTTTTGTACGTGTTTTTGCATTCAATTACCGCGCACTTCATTTTAATTACATTTGCACAAAAAATCACTTAAAAATTAAGCTGCCTTTACATACGGAGATTTTTTGACAGGCGATAATCGCCTGCAAAAGTTGACTTGCTGTCTACTTTGAGGCAAGCGATTTTTGTATCACCATTTACACGAGCGATTTTTCCAGATTTTTTACTGAGATAAATCACCGACAAAATACATATAAAAAAAGAAGCAAAACAGAAATAGCAAACTTCAAAATTACGAACGTCACACACTTTTTCACAATTGCTATTACAAATGGCTGCTTCTCAAACGGTCTGATCTGTTCTAATTGGTTCATGGCTTTTAATACTGATTTAAATTAAAGATGTATATACAGGATCTCCCCCCTGAAAGGCTTCTTCATCCGTCAAAGCATTTTTCTTGAACCTTGGATCGACTAAGGTAAATACTGATAAAATAATATGTTGCGATAAGTGTTTTAGCCGTTATCATATAAATTATTAATGGAAGTTCTTTCTAAACTTGAAATGCATGTAATGGCTAGGGTTACCGAAAAGAAATACTATTGGGTACCGAAATCTGTTTTGAGTTTTGTTACCGAGTATTGGGTACCAACAATTCAGTACATCACTACACCCAAAGGCGAATTCGCCTTGGACAGGTGGTTGTCAAAGCGCACATTTGCCGGCAAATAAATTTGCAAATATAAACAAAGAGGCAATTGTATTAATAAATAAAATGAAATTTTGGGTTTTCCTCTTGACTTTAATAGCCCGACATCAGTATACCATTTCGCAAAGTGAGAACGCTTACTCTAGTAATATCTGCACAAAGGATAGCAACGAAAATTGCTCTTCCATTGAGATTGATGGTGTCGAAAATGGTAAACAATTGTTTAGTTTATAACCCCTTTTTATAAAATTCCATATCTATTAGACAACCATATAACTGAGGAAGTAAGAAAATCATTAGAGTCCTTTGTACTCTGTGCGGATGAAAATGATGTAGATTGTAGATGCCATAGCGATGTCTTAGTAAATGACCTCAAACCGTTTCGAAAAAAGGGGATCACTCAGAGTATGGTAAAGACTTCCGCCAAATATGGAACACGATACAAGATATTAAACCATCGTCTTTATCGCGACAAAGAGTGTATGTTTCCGGCGCGATGTAGTGGAATCGAACATTTCCTACTAAAACTTCTGCCCGAATTGCCTGATATGGATATGGTCATAAACACTCGCGATTGGCCGCAGGTACCATCAGGCCTTGGTGATAGAATAGGACCAATATTCTCATTTTCAAAAACAAAAGACTATTTAGATATAATGTATCCGGCATGGACCTTCTGGGCTGGAGGACCAGCCATTTCCTTACATCCGACCGGCATCGGTCGCTGGGATTTATTACGCGAGAGTATATCAAAAGAAGCTGCAAAAACAGCTTGGTCAGAAAAACTTCCGTTAGGGTTTTTTCGGGGTTCTCGCACTTCGGACGAACGGGACGCATTGGTGCTTTTGTCAAGGCGTAGACCAGGTTTAGTAGATGCTAAGTACACAAAAAACCAAGCTTGGAAATCACCACTAGATACCCTCAATGCTGAACCTGCAAAAGAAGTGTTGTTTGAAGATCATTGCCGATATAAATACCTATTCAACTTTAGAGGTGTAGCAGCTAGTTTTCGCTTCAAGCACTTGTTTCTATGCAACTCGTTAGTGTTTCATGTGGGTGATGAATGGAATGAATTTTTTTACCCAGCCTTGAAGCCATGGGTTCATTATGTGCCATTGAAAAGTTATCCAAGCGAGCAAGATATTGAAAATATTATACAATATTTTCTCGAGCACGATAGTTTAGCTCGAGAGATTGCTGAACGTGGAAAGCAGTTTATTTGGAATCATCTCCGTATGCAGGATGTTGAGTGCTATTGGAAAAAACTGTTATCACACTACCAAACGTTAATTAAATATAAGGTTGTGTCCGACCCAGAACTTATTCCGATTAAACCTAAACAAAGAGTAGAATTATAAAGCATTTAAAGAATCTCAAAAGTATTGCAAAATTATAATAAAGCTAAAAAATCGCAAAGTTTACAAAACGTCGATTTGTTTACTATGATAAATTTGAGGTTAAGTTTGTAGTCAAAATTAAACGTCAAAGTCAGATGGCTTTAATAGTTTTTGTTATTGCATCAAAATCACAAAGTGCATTTGCATTAAAGTTGTGTAAAAAATAAATTAAAGTTACAGTTCTTGTTGATTTTAAGTTATAAGACAAATGTCTTTTCGGGAGGCATATAAATTAGCCAGTAAGCAATCGATTCGCTGGTTTCCCGGACACATGGGGAAAGGGCTAAAACAAATGCAGCAAAGTTGAGGTCCGTGGATTGTATTGTTGAAGTACATGATGCCCGCGTTCCTTTTTCCGGACGAAATCCGGAATTCAAACATACTATATCCGGTGGTGCAAAGCCCCATATTCTTGTACTGAATAAGAAAGATCTTACAGAAATTGCGAACAACGGAAAATTGCCAAGGAGTTGCATGAACGTGAAGGTATTGAGCACGTTGTGTTTACCAACTGTAAGGACCAGCAATGTGCAGGTGTCAAACGGGTGATACCTTTAGCGCACAAACTAGTTTCGTCATCAGACCGCTATAACCGGACAGGTTTCAAGATGCAAGTATCATGATAATTGGAGTACCAAATGTTGGTAAAAGCTCGCTAATAAATGTACTACGTAACAAAAATTTACGCAAGAAAAGTGCAACGCAAGTTGGAAATACTGCTGGTGTAACCCGTTCTGTTATGGAACGAATAAAAATCAGCGTGGACCCATTGATTTATATGATTGACACACCTGGAATTTTAGAACCCTGCGTAGCTGATGATGAAATGGGTATGAAGTTGGCGTTAGTGGGTTGTTTGCCGGATCATTTAGTGGGAGAAGAGTTAATTGCTGATTATATGTTATACTGGATGAATAAGCATCACCGATTTGAATATGTCAAAGCAGTTGGACTAGAACATCCAACGGACAATATTGCAGAAGTTCTAGTGTCATTTGCAAAGAGCTAGGAGTAGAAAGAAAATTTAAAAAACTCGATGGCCAAGTGGTAAATCTGCCGGATGTTTTGGTAGCGGCTCGCAAGCTTATCAAAAATTTTCGAAATGGCGACTTCGGTGGTGTTAATCTGACAGATGATGTATTTTTCTGCAATAAAAATTTTTAATTTTTTTTTTTATGAGTTATGTACTTGTTGTAATTTATTGGAATGCACATAAGCATTAAAAATAGCAAGGAACTTATGTAGAAAGCCCTTAAAAATGCCAGATTATCCTTTTTTAATTAATTATAAGTTTCGATGAAATAGCAAATGAGGAAGCAGCACAAGTAAGCAAAACTGTAGCGTGAGGTTGATATGGCTTCTGTTGCTCTAATAAAGACCAGGCATATTAATTTTTCTTTAAAATCTCTAATGTACAGACATCGGCCGGTTACAATTTTATTATATGTAAAGAAATGGTGAAATCATATTTTGGTAAAAACTTTACTGCAAAGCTGAAGTATCTAAAAGGGGCACATCTATTGCGATATTGCCAACGCCGGGTACTGGAATAGAATATGAAACTGCAGTAGCATCAACGCTTCCAGTGCTTTCATTAGCGGTGTGCTGCGTAATGTCATCTGCAGCCAAACTTGTATTTACATTATTTACAGCATCTGAATCACCAGTAGTCATTTGTTCGTTGATGACCGTAGGTTGTAACTC